GTGTTCCTACACATCGCTACACTACATCTCGGTTGATTAGCGATTAAATTTTGGACGCCCCTATAATGAGGAAGTACTCTTATCTATAATTATCTGCTCCATGTATCTTGGTTACTATTTTATTATAAAAATTATTTATATGCAGATATTTCATTGCTTTATATAATAATCACATATTATCTAGTATTATTCTATCTATGTACGATAAAAGGCGGAAAATTTCAGACTTCGGTTATGCCAAGTTATCAAATAATCCGGATTATCGGGCTTAATAATAAATATAGGGCATAATTACTGCATATTTTAATAATTTAAATCTTTATTTTATTTCTTAATAATTTCACTCACATCTTCAGTTTCCATTTCACATGAAAACAATATTACATTAAAGATAAAAATAAAATTTTTTCTGGTTTTACAAGTAAAATATAAAGAACATTTTAAACCGCTAAAACACTACTTTGTAATTCGGTTTCTAAAGATGGAAATATCATTTTCCCTCGAAACAAATTCGTTTATATATTCTAAGAATACAAAATTTTAAACAAAGCTCAGTGCAGAGTAATTGTATAAATATATTTAAAGACTAAAAAATACACTAGAACATAAACTATAGAATATATATAATTTACTATTTTAAATTAATTTAGCTGTTGAATCTACTTGTTTCTGGTGCATGAAGAATTATCAGAGTTTGAATAAATACCCAGTTTTTTTTTTAAAAAACATTATTAAGGAGATTATTAAGATTTTCATTACTTTTCCACTGCTTTGTAAATTTCACAGACGCAGTTAATGTTACTGCAGTCCCCCCAAGTAACATTATATTTTCTCTTCATTTAACAATAACTTAGATTTTCCTTAACTGAATCATCTTTGGCTTCCTAAATCTATTTATTAAATTTCAGGATTAATGACAAGATAAGTGTTCAAAAGAACAGCAGAGTAATTAACGACAAGATTATAATTTTTTTTTCATTTTCCAAGAGAATTTGGTTATATGCATTTAGCCATAATAATGATGGATTAAAGAATGCTTCCGATTACTTCTGAACGACACAATCATAGCCTCCCTAAGTAGCTCTTATATCGGGTATACAAGCGACGAATTATTGGGTATGCTAAGCATTAAGCTTAGCGGACTCTTATTCCAACATTAGGATTAATGGACTCTTATTATCTAGTGGAAAATTAATATCACTAGATATAAATAATTAAAAAATCAATTTATGGCTTAGCACTTAAATATTCAAATGCTCCAAAAATTACATCAGAAATATGCAAGTCTTAAAATACTAGTTATTTAAAAAATCTTGCTCACTAAAGCAACTGCAGGTTTAGATTTCAAAGAGAATGCATGAATACAGTTCAATTTAATCAAACTGGAATATGGAAACTGTATTAAAAGTATTTTTGACATAGCCAGTTACTGTTGTTAGTGGTGACAGAATCTTCAGCAAACACAAAATAATAAATAGTTATGCAAGATCTTTACTTGTTGGTTCACTTTGGTTAAGAATGTGATAATTACTTTTAAGTTTTATTAGTAGATTATAAGCTAAATTCTACCTTCTCCTTCTTGGCTTATGTCATAATATTTGGTGAGGTCAAAAAGTTGTGCAAATTCAAAGACATGTGGCATTGTTTAAAAGTAGGAATTTAATTTCAATTGTAGCCTAATGGCATATACGGCACATTGCTGCTGTGTTTTCACTGAGTTGGTGAAAGCCCTAACATACATAAATATATGGTGAATGGAAAGTCCTTTCGAATGGTTGGTTGAAGGGGAAGAGGGAAGGGAATACCCTTGTGCCACTTCTGGGATGTTTCATCAAAATTAGGTTGCAGTTTAACAGTTAGCATGGCCTGGTGATACCTAATATGCATCTGGGAATGGAAATGTGTGGGCCTTGCTTTAACCCGTAACTGTAGTGTAGACCAACCTGTTGTTTAGATTTGAATCAGAATTGTGTATCATAAAGATTCGAATTTTAGCCATAGAGCAAGCAGACTCGTCTTTGTATGACAAACCATTTTTTTTTTTTTTGATTTTTAATTTCAATTTAAGCCACCAGGCATGGTTTAATAAATTTTATCTGAATTTTAATGTGATTTGTGTTGACAGTTACATAGTTGTTTAAGCATAAACTCACCAAGAGATAAATCTAAATGTTAGCAACTACATTAAGCATTCATATAATTATTGCATTAATTATATCACTATTTACGCTATTTCATTATTACATATTAGTTACCAAAAAAGTATTTTTTACTGTTTTCATTCAAAAATTATTAATAATTATTTGTATCATTGTAAAGCTACGATTAAAGGTAATATAAAATTTACATGAGTTAAAATATTCTAATTCAAAATAGTTAATTTTAAAAAGCAACATCACTGTTGATAATGCACAGATATAATTAATATGACTAGAAGCATGTATGTATTGAAGTGTGCATTTACCATTTTGCCTCAGGTAAAAAAAATGTCTGGCCCTGCCTGCTATAGAACTAATAATTTGTTTTTTGCAATTTTGTACTTTGCATTGAAATCTTACCTATGCAAGAAGAATATCAAAAGAACTCATTTGATGCAAAGCTTTATCCTGAACACATAATTTAAACTTATAGAGTACAGCTTTTAATATTATGTGGTAGCAAGTCAAATTTAACCCAATAAATGGAAACTTAAGATTTTACAAAATCTTTTAATTTTTTTAAGACAAATACATTATAAACACATAAAAGGCCTACATTTGATAATAAAATATTAAGTAAATTTTTAAATTTTGAGTATTTCACATTTGAGAAAAATACATATGTATATCATATATATATATATATATATATGTGAATGCATTTAGAAGGTGACTTTTATAATTAAATTACATATTTAACATATTACAAATCAAACTGTACACATATTTGATTTCAAAATCATTAAAACAACATAAAAAATGAGACAAGATTTAAAAATAATCTCCTCATAATTTGAAAATTAAATTTCAGAGAAAATAATCAATATTTTTTTTGGAAGTTTTTTTTTTTTTTTTTTTCCCCTAAAGCTTATCGCATACTTCCATCAATAGTTATAGAGGCCATAGATTAAACACGCTATTAGAATGACAGGAACTTAAACCAATTCAGTTAATTTGTAGCTTACACATTTATTTAACTTATATTTTAGTTTTAATGCTGAATCAAAATTAAAGTATATGCTTCATATTTCCTTAGAAAACTGGAAAGTTTGAAAAAAAAATATGATTTATATATTTAACCACATGTGCTGGAAAGACACACTATGCATATTGAGATGGTTTTGTTTGAAGACCACCACCAACATGTTATACATGTTGGGAGGCCCAATATCGTTTTAGAATACGGTCAAAAGTCGTTAATTCGGACACCCATAATCCGGAACTCAAAGCTAAACGTTTTCTGCGCATGCGCCGCATCGACACATGCGCATAGGCGTTTACACGTGCGCATAAGACCTTTACGACTGCGCATATGCGTGTGCACAAGCGCAGAATACGTTTTCGCGTGCGCGTTTAATGTATAACAGGATAGTATAAGCTAAAAGCTTATCTAAATTATCTATGTTCTGTTAATGTTGCATGATTGCGTTGTTCTTTAATCTTCTAATATGATGCGGCTTATTATTTTTTTGCCAGACTGTAAGAGCAATTTTATAAATGTAAGCTTGAAATTTCGATTATGTCAAAAAGAATTTCCAATTCTGGAGCTGCCAAAGGATCTACGAAAACGAAAGTATGTTTCGATGTCCGTCAAACAAAAAGTGGAATTGCTGCAAAAAATGGATAAAGACATGAAGAAGGTGACAGAGAGGTTAGTGAAAACGAAAAAATTTCGATTGACAAGTTAGTCGGTATTCTCGGAACAGCAGTTACGGTACTTGAACAGCAGAACTTTCTAACTGAACAAGAAATTATGTCTGTTTATAGAATTAAAGAGAAAGTATTATCACATAAAACGAAGCAACTTAAACAACTTACATTGAAAGAAATATTTAATAAAGTAAACAAATAAATATTAAGCTTTTTTTTTTTTTTTTTTTTTTGTAAATTTTGATACCCTTTAGATCACAATTGTTCTTTATTTCATAAATTACGGTTTCATATTTTTAATTTTAGAATTTCTGCATGCCATCTTATGAGATTTAAACTGATGATCTATAATCCGGAAAAATCGATAATCCGGAATTGCCGAAGTCCCGACGAGTTCGGATTAACGACTTTTGACTGTATAATGATGCGAAAGCTAAGCTAAATCTAAAAGATAATTATTTATCTTTTTTTTACTAATGAAAAATGTAAAAAGATTTGAATGATGCTTTTATTGCATTTTTTTGTAAGAAAACGAACATAGCAAAAGGTATTAAAAAAAAAAAAAAAATGAAAGATTTCAGATTTTAAATTACGTCCAAAGGAGTGTTTTTTTAACATTTTGTGTGTTACCTTTATTTATTAAATATCATGTTATTTGCACTTAAAACATAAAATTCAGTTCAGTAGCAAGGTCGCAAAATAATTTTAAAATGAGCACATCTTTAGAATTTCCGATAAACAGTTCCGCGCCCGCTGGAGATAAAAAGGTCCCCCCCATAGACTATTGCCATTGCTCGCATTTAAATCATTGAGTTTGTTACTAAAAAATTCATTAAAGTTTTACAAAATATGAAATCGATAATAAAACAAATTCCAAATTTCAAATTTGGTCTTCTACATGCCCATATTCGTAGGAGGATTACGCCATTCAAAATTCGATGGCTCTATGTACCGTTGTTTTATCACAATGCGAGAAATATACATACATTTATGCAGATTTTTCATTTTTCAATTTCTTCAAATATAATGTAGGACACTAACATTTGGTGGCAACGGTTTGAAGAGTGAAACGGACATTTATAGTGATTCAATGCAAAATTGCAAAACAAAAACAATAGTCCTTCAGTGACAAAGCCTCTTTGGACTTAAAAAAAAAAAAAAAAAAGAAAAAAAAAAAAAAAAAAAAAAAAATCAAAACGTTGATTAAATGTAGCAGAATGTATTTAAAAAACTTCTTGTATTCCTGATTATTAAAAAGATGGAGGGATGTGTGCTGGTGATGCACTGGTTTCCAAGCAGTGGGACCATTTTCCAAGAAATATTCCACTCAGAAGGTATAGACAATATCCAAAACAGAAACAACAACAACACAACAACAATAATAATAATAATAATAATAACATATTTGGAATGATATGATTAATTCTTACAACTCAATATGAACTATTTTAACATTGTATTTGAAAAATTTAAAACTCTTTGCAAAATCTTTAAACTAGATTAAAAAAAATTAAGCTATATGCAAAAAGTTTTATTAATAAAAACTGTTATAAATTGAAAGTAATCTTTAAACTTTGTCATTGTTTACTAATGCAATTTGCTGCACTGATTGATAAAGTAGTTAGTAGTGCCAGCAGTCATATTATCAGGCCAAGGTTCAAATCCCAGCGAAGTTATGAATATGCGTAAATGTATAATATCTATGGCATGAGAGAACTTAAAATATCACTGCGCTAAAAGTTTTCTTAAGAAGGTAAGGAAAGAGGAGTAGAACATTCTTTGACTTATCCTTGGCACATAATTCTTCATTACAACTCAATGCGACAAAATAAGTTATTTGATTATGGCAAACCACATAAGAACTTATGGATGAACTTATGAAACTTACCAATGATAGGTGCAATCTTTAATCTGGATTGTGCATAAAAAAGAAGGATTTAATCATAACACAATAGCACTGATGTATTTTATAATGATTTTTCAGTTAGTACTTTCCCACAGAACTGGTATTAAGGAACAATTCATTCAAATGGAAAAAGCTATTATTGTTTAACATATCAAAAGATAATAAAACCTACGGATAATTTTTTTATTAAATTTGCATCTTCAGATATCCTCCTTCAGATTGAACTTTTTATTTTGGAGACAACAGCAAATATTATGAACGATTTTTACATTTTCATAAAAATTACAAAGTCATAAAAGGACTTAGCTTTAAAATAGCTAAATTCTTATAAACAGTAGAATATTCTGCAATAATATATATTTTATTCTGGATTCATAAAGTTTTCTTTCAAAATAATTCAGAGAGACTTAATTTCTAAATTAAAGAAAATATTGCTAACTGTAAACTGTGTGGTTTTTAGACATCTGAGTTATTTGCTGTATTTTAAAGTGCTATTAAATTTCGACACTTAAAAAGAAACTAGAAAATTGAATACACTTTATAAAGAATTTTATATAAAAAACACTTTATGATTGAAACATCTGGTTTCTTTAGAGTCAATTTAATCTACACTTGCAAAGACAATGTTTTAAATTTAATTACGAAATTTTTATCAACAGATGCAACATATTTATTATAAAATCTTACATCACTTCGAATAAAATATTGAAACTTTTACCTATTACATTCACAAAATAAAATGTAAATCATGAGATTTGACCACTTTATTATAAATGGGATAATCATGCAAATCATTATAACATTTTAACTACTTTCCTAGCTGCAATAATGAATTCTTCAATCTGAAATAAATACAAGAAAACCATATTTTCAATAAAAAATTATAGCAAAATCTGATAATATTATACAATATGGTCGAATATTACATACAGTCAAACTTATTCCGAATATTTTTCAGTAAAGCAGCTTTCAAAAATATTTTACACAAAAGGAACGTTTTTTAATAAAATTTACAAAATTAAAAAATAATAATAATAAATAAATATGAATACATTTAAACCAAAAACTGAGAAAAAGTTAAAATTTAAAATGTTTGCATAACATATCTAAAATGGTATCTGATGATGATAATAAAATAAATATATAGTGTAATTAATTTGAAATATACATTATATCGTTACTAATAAATTCCATTTTACTAAACCTGAATGCTTAAAATTCAGTAAACTCCATTTAACTTAATACATATCAATAAATTTTTAACTATCACATAAAAACTGAAAGATATGATAAAATATTTTTTTAAAAATTTATATAACCAGTTATATTTTAAGGTAATCTTCGAACTATTAATTATTATTAACATACTGTTATTATATATATTTTCAATTCTAAAAATGAGAATATCTGAGAATTTAATTAGTTGCTATATGACAAAGTTTCCAGAAAGTGTATTAGCAAGTGTAATAAAATCTCACAAAATTATTTAACAATTTAATCTGACATCTCTTGAATATTTATTGCACACATAATACAAATTAAATATTCAAATTCAATTTTGCAGAAACAGCTTTTATGATTTCTAAAATATTCCTAAGAATGCAGTTAAAAATATGAGACAGATATGATAGCTCCATTTTCAGGCAATTATTGAGCAATTATTATTCAGAAATCACCAGAACACATTTTTAAAAACATGTTTACTGTAGATTTTTAAAGAAAATATTCTCTCTATTCTTACACTTATGCCTTTAGAAACTGATAGATCCTAATGATGACGAAGAAATACAAAACAAGGGCAAAAGAAAGTTAACATGGCAATATTTTAGGGAGAAATATTTTTAGAGTTAACAATTTTAAAATATTAAACAAATATTAAACTTTTTTCCTACAGAAGTAGTTCAACAAATTATTTAAATGTGGTATATGTTATCAAAATTGACTCATTGTTTCTATAGTTAAAAATGAAGTCTTTAAGTGGAAAGTAAAGACTCTTAGATATAAAATTTTTTAATTTTTGTTTCCACTTATGAATAGAAGCAGCTACTCAAATGACTTTAATAATGATGGGTTTATTATTTTTATTTAATATCACTTTGATTAAAATTTCCTTATTCTGAATTTTAGAAGAGTGTGGATACTTATATTTTGAATAGAAAATTGGCAGTCTATCACAAATTGACCTCATTACGTGAAAATAATGTCTTAATTAATAAATTTACACTGTACACTTAAAAATTTAAAGAATGGATTTGTTTAAATTCTATATAAATGCTCTCAGTTTTTTAATTGGAAAGCGAAAAGTGGTAAATCTGTAGAGGATCTGAAAAACAGTTAAAATTAACAGAAACATAAAGTGTTTGCATAATGTTCTGTGAAATATTTTAATTTTATAAAAGAATTTAAGCAAGTAAGGAAATATTTCTAAGGAAAATATTACATAAAAGGTGAATCTGAAAATGATCTTTTAGAGACAGATATGATATTCATATGCACAAAACTTTAAATACACTTACAGCATAGTGAAATGAAAGCATAGATTAAATATTTTAAATGGGAAAATTAAAACTAATAGCAGATGAATTCGCAGAGATTAGATTTGATTGCATGAGAAATATTCTAAAGGTACTTTCTGAAAAATAATTATCACTAAATCACTAAATTAGTTTGACCCTCTGATGTGCACAGTACTTTTTTACGTTTCTGACATTGAATAATGCTAAATAATTATTGTTTTGACTCTATACATGAAGAATCTTTGTTTGAAAAAAAAATTATCTTGCTCTCCTTCGAATGGGGGGGGGGCGAACAGCACACATCTAGGACACTGAAAATATTGTTGATGCAGGGGGGAAGTTACCCGTCACTGTGTACACATTTAATAATTTCTCCAAATAGTATACAGTCTTGTATATCTCGTAAATGAAAGGTCTATTAAAGATATTCTTTCACAAAAAAGTATTATTAAATCTTAACAAAAATTATAACTTATAAATGTAATAGCTCTCTATCTTTTTTTTTTTTTTTTTTTTTTTTTTGCATTGTACAACCATATAAAATAATATAACACATTTTATAGAATTAGATGCTTATACCTTTATATATTTACTAATAAAATAATATAGTATGTTATTTGATAAAAATAATATGGTTCAAAATTAAAAGCAAAATTAATCCCCCCCAAAAAATGTGATGATAATAAAAATGGAGAACATATAATTACTTTTCTACTGATTTACATACACTTTCCATTTGGTTAAAGTAGTCTACATAACCCATGTGTATAAACACATGAACTACATAAACCATGTGTTTATACACATGGGTTATGCAGACTATATAACCCTTGATACCTTTTGGACAGAGGATTTGAAATTTTTGTCTAATTTTTTCTTTTCTTTCTATGGATAAGGAATTTATGTGAGAGTAAATCCTTTCACTCCATTTACTTCTACTTCAAATCAGCAACGCATGACGACATAGTGTAGCTCAGCTTGCAGAGTGACAGACGAGCGTTGGAAGTGCTGGAGACGAGATGCGTCAAAGCACTGAGTGGATATTTTGAGATGGAACGGAAATGGACAGATGATCCGTAGATCCATCAAGATGTTTGTCCATAGTAATCAAAAGAGCAGATGGGCCCTTGAATGTATTTTTGAGGACTGTGTGTTAGTCATCACTATATGATCCCTATAGGATTGTTAGACTCACTTTCACCATGAGATTACCAGTTGAATTATTAACTTTTACTTTTTATCTTTTATTTACTTTATTTAATATTAGTAAAATAAAGCATTTAAGAATGCAACAGTTGTGCTCTAGCATGTTTTTTGAAAGTAAATACTACAAAATTTGGTGCACAACTGTGGCGTTAATCCAAAAATAGTGTTCTAAGTAGAACTGTGACAGCTGTTTGGTTAGGTAAAACTCTATTCTTAAGTGCTGAACTGTGTATTGACCTACTGTGAATTTAGTGACTGTTCTTACGAGATGTTGGATTACCGTTTCAAAGTGTGTGGATTACCAATTGAAGATGATCATCTGTCGGGTGAATACAAAACTTTCTTTCCAATATGAAGTTAATAGAAATTCCAGAATTGGAAGCAGCTTTAAAGAATAGTAAAAGTTCTGAAATCAAAAGTTTGCATAAGCTTTTTTTTTAATACTGATGGAGACCGAAATAACCCGAAAAGATTACATGAATTTTCTGGCTTTATATAAACCAAATTCTGAAGAATTTAATAAAATAGATACAGTGCAGAATAGTTTTTCTTTGAACGAGTTAATTAAAGTTTGTAATGTATTATGCATACATTCAGAGGGTTCGAAAACGGAAGTAGTAACCCGAATTGTCTCTTTTCTGTGTGATCTGTATTATTTGAAAATATTTTGCATGAAGAAAATAGTGATATTGAAGATGAAACTTTTAAAATTTCTGAAGTAATGCTTGATGATAATCAAAGAAACAATCTTGGTTTTAATGAGTCTCAAGTAAATAAAAGTATGGAGCTTCCAATTCAAGATAATTTTAAACCTCATCTTAGTTTTTCGGATATTGAAAGTATTGTTAATTCTTTTTCTGGTAATGCATATGAAAATGTTGATAAATGGATTATGAATTTGAAGATGTCATAAATTCTTTGAAATTTAGTGATTTGCATAAATTAGTTTTTACAAAAAGATCATTAAAAGGTAAAGCGAAACTATTTATTTAGAGTGAACCTAAAGTTAATGACTGGTGTAAGTTAAAAAAAGCTTTTGAAATTTGAATTTGGTAAAGCTTTTAATTCTGCTGAATTGCATGAAATGTTATGTAAGCGTAAATTAATGCCTAATGAATCTTTAGATGAGTATTTTTTGAAAATGAAAGAAATGTGTTTGCGAGGTAACACTGAAAATGCTTCATTAATTAAATATGTTATTGATGGTATTCCCTATTCTGTGGTGAGCAAACCTATACTATATAGTTGCAAAACAATATCTGAATTTAAACAAAGGCTAAAAAATTATGATAAAATGAGATTGGACAATGATAGGTTTAAAAATCCGAAACCGAAAGTAGACACTCAAATTAAAGATAGAAGTAAGCTTGCGTTATCGAACTGAAATCAGTCTGATGTAAATAAAGTGAAGTGTTTTAATTGCAATGAATTGGGTCATAAATCGTCTCAGGGAGAAAACAAATCGAGTGGGATGAAATGTTTCAAATGTAAAAAGTTTGGGCATAAATCGACTGACTGTCAAAACCAGAACCCCGAGAAGCAAGCAGCTTTAGTGCAGCATATTTCGGATGATATTAGAATTATGAAGACTATAGAAATAAATAAGCATTTAGTTAATAGTCTAGTTGACACTGATTCAGATGTTACAATATGCAGTGTAGAGTTAAATAAGCAAATTGGTTCTCCAAGTTTAAATTTTAGTGATATCACATTGTTCGGTATCGAGGCAAAGCAAACATATCCCATTGGCTTTTTTATTTCTGATATTTTAATTGATGGTTTTTCACTTTGTATGAAGTTGTTAAGTCATTATGTAATCAAATTGTAATAGGTTTAGATGTAATGAATCAGTTTAACTTCTCCTTTACCAAGAATGGCCTTCAAATAATTTCTCATTGGAATAAAAGTAATATCAATTTGATAACTGCTGAGTCATATCAGAATGCTAGCGTTCGTTGTGTTATGGAAAATTTGAATATCGCTGTGTCATTGAAGAATGTTTATGATCTTTTGCAATCGCCTGATGTCCCTGTTAATGTAAGCAAAAGTCCCGAAAGCAGAAGTGGCTTGAAATTTAATTACCTTCCACATCTGGTGAATGCTATTTCTGTCAGCGAGACTGATTTCGCATATTTTGAATGTGGAACATAAAGAAAGACTGTGTAAATTAATTAATTCATACCAGCCTCGGAAAAATAAGCAATCTGATTTCAAGATGCAAATAAATTTATGTGATGAAATTCCCATCTGTCAAAATAGAAGAAACATGTCTTTCATGGAATAAAAAATTGTTGACGAGCAAATTAAAGAATGGCTGAACGATGATATAATAAAGCCTAGCAATTCTAATTATTCGGCACCTATAGTTTTGTGTAACAAACGAGATAATTCCAAAATATTACACACAGATTATCGGAAATTAAATAAGAAGATTACTAAAGACAAATTTCCACTGCCTTTAATCCCAGAAATACTTGATCAGTTGGAACAATTAAAGGTCTTCACGACACTAGTTTCGAAAAATGGTTTTTTCCATGTAGACATAGATGAAAAGTGCACAAAATACACCGCGTTCATAACACATAATATTGTTTATGAATTTCTTAAAGCTCCTTTTGGTTTATGCATTAGTTCAAATGTTTTTCAAAGGTATATTTATTCAGTATTTCATGACTTGCTAAATGAAGGTGTACTAATTATTTATATGGATGATATAGTTGTACCAGCTAATGATGAAGTTGAATGTTTAGAGAAATTAGAAAGAGTATTCAAAAATGCTTCAGAATATGGATTACAAATAAATTTCAAAAAGTGCCAATTTTTAAAGCAAAAAATTGAATTTTGGGGACATATAATTGAAAACGCCACTATTCGGCCATCACTTTCCAAAACTTTTGTTGTTCAAAATTTTCCACAACCACGTAATTGTAAACAACTACAAAGCTTTTTAGGACTAACAGGATATTTTCGTAAATTCATTCCTCGTTATGCGAAAATAGCTAAACCTCTTAGTGACTTATTTAGAAAAGGTATTGGTTTTAAGTTCGATTCCAAACAGCAGGAAGCTTTTTGCAAATTAAAAGAAATTCTCTCTCAAGTACCTGTTCTACATATATTTAAGCAAGGATATCCATTAGAACTTCATACTGATGCTATTAGTCAAGGCTTTGGTGCGGTACTACTCCAAATGTCTGATGATGGTAGATATCACCAATCCAGTATATGAGTAAGATGACTTCGCAGCAAGAGAAACTTTGTAGTTATGAATTAGAAGCCCTTGCAGTTATAGAAGCTCTTAAGAAGTTTAGAAACTATTTGTTAGGTTCCAAATTCAAAATTGTAACTGATTGTAGTGCTTTTCAGAAAACTTTAGATAAAAAAAGATTTAATTTCCAAGATTGCAAGATGGGCAATGTTTATTGAAGAATTCGATTATGAAATTGTACATCAATCAGGAAGCCAAATGAAACATGCTGATGCTCTCAGTAAGAATGCTTAAATTTTAACATCATACACATCCGATGTAACTGAGAAGATTCTGTTAGCACAACAACAAAATGAAGATGAACATGTGAAATTGATTGAGAAAGGGGAAAAAAAATGGATTATTCCTGAGAAATGGTATTTTGTATAAATTTGAAAATGGTAAAAATCTGTTAGTAGTGCCAGAGTCATTACAAAACGGAATCATACAGAAGGTACATAAAAAGGGTCACTTTGCTGTAGAGAAAACTGTGAATGCTGTAGAGCAAGAATTCTATATTCCTAGACTGAAATGCAAAGTTGAAAATGTAATTGAGAACTGTATAGAATGTATACTGTACAACAAGAAGCAAAGAAAAGCAGAAGGATTTCTTCATCCTCTACTGAAAGAAAACATTCCCTTGAGCACATACCATGTTGACTTTATTGGACCTCTTCCATCGACGAACAAGAGATACCAACATATTCTAACTGTGGTCGAGGCTTTTAAGAAATTTACTTGGTTCTATCCAGTAAAATCACCAACTACGCAAGAAGTCATTTCAAAATCGAGACAACAACAGACTGTATTTGGCAATCCAGCCAGAATCATTTCTGATCGAGGTAGTGCCTTTACATCGAAAGAATTTTCAGCTTATTGTACGGAAGAAGGCATAGAACATGTTGAAATTACTACTGATATTCCAAGAGGTAATAACAGATTGAGCGAATCCATAGAATTTTGATTCCTGTTTTGTTGAAATTATCACATGAGGATTCAATGGAATGGTTTAAATATGTTCCAGATGTTCAGAGAATAATCAACAGTACAACTACGAGAAGTACAAAATATTCACTGTTTGAGCTTCTCATACGCACGAAAATGAAGAACAAGAAGATCTAAGAATTAGTGAGACATTAAATGAAGAATATCAAAAGCAGTTGATGCAAGAACGTGATGAAACGAGAGAAGAGGCGAAAAACAACATTTTGAAGTTACAAGAAGAGAATCACAAGCAATTTAGCAAAAGACGGAAGAAACCGAAACTGTACAAGATTGATGACTTGGTAGCCATTCAGCGAACTCAGCATGGGACTGGTTTGAAACTACGACCTTAGTTTCATGGACCTGTGAATCATAAAAATATTTGTTTATGCATATAACACCAATTTTTTTGAATTATTAAGTGTACAACTGTATTCTAGTAAAAAAATTAGACGGACATATGCATTCAAGCCCAGTGAAACTGTTAACAGCATGAAAGTTTTCTTTTATTAGTTGCCAACATGGTTGATATACTCATTTGCATTAGAGATTTTGGTGAGAAAGGACAAACAGCTTTTACCTCACTTAAAATAATCTTATGGTACCTATAGTTTCTTAAACAATAACCAAGACATGAAATAGGAAAATAAATAATATGTGTTTCAATACATGTGTTGGTTTGACTTTCAGACATCAAACAGATATGGCAGAAATAACGTAGCAGAGGCAAATGTTTTTTTAATTAATTAATAATATAGACATTAAATATTACCTCATGAATTTGCTCTAATATATTATCTGGTTGACTATAAACTTCTTTATAGTGTGAAATCTTTTTATGAACCTGATTAATCCACCTAAAAATGAAAGATGATTTTAAAATTAGAGAATAAAAAGTAATGTATATCTTAGATTTTCAAATCAAGTAAAAAATTAATGAAGACATATAGCAGTGATTATTAAAACAGAATATATTTTGAAAATGAAACTCTTAAACATATCAGGACTTGTGCAAGAAGCAATAATTAATAACTGAAATGTGCTGGTGCTTTATATTAAAAGATGATGAATTAAAAGCTAATACTTACTGCCCTCTAAAGAAAATATTACACAATAATTCCAATAATTATTGTATAATGAAAAAAATGTATATAAATACAAGCATTAGCCTACTTAAATGATCCATACAACAAAAAGATATAGACAATAACAATTAACAGCAATCCGAACAGCTGCAATTGCATTAAATTATAAATCGTACTCAACTTTTCAAAATTCATCTTTTCATCTTTCATCATTTCAAAATTAATTCAAAGACAAAGACAGCACTTGATTTTTTGATAAATTAAAAAAGTTTCAAATATTTAGAATGATCACAATCTCATACTAATTATTTAATACTTACAGCCTCACCAGTGCTGAGTGTTAAGACCACTAAATACTGAGCTTTGATCTGGGTTTAATCCCAGGCAAATGAGCTCATTGCATGGTTGGTTTTCATGGTTTTTCCCATGCTGTAATGTGAATACGAATCAGTTACCCTTAAAATGTCCTTCACAAAGACATTTCTCCTTTTAGGCAGATAACCCTTATGTGCTGTGCCATATTCAAATAATCTTACACGATAGATAATAAGATAATAATAGATAATAAGGGGGGATGTAATGTATTAAGGTTTAGTTAAGTAATTCACTAATCATGATTTCAAAATTGATATTATGTAAAGATACCATAATTATATCATTCCAGTTTTATGAATTTTAAAATACAACCATCATTCTATTGATATTTTAGAGCCTTTTGCATGTCCTCATAATTGTTGAAAATAAAAATGTAGCAATGGAATGATTCAAATTGTATACTCTCCAACTATTTCAGATGCTAGGAAAAAAAATAACATCTATGTCATACATCATAGTGTACATCTATGTCAGAATATGCAATAACTATCAAACACACACAATATTAAACAATAGCCATGTTAAAATATTTGTCCACATGATTAGATGTATTCTTATTTCTCAGTTTTATTTTTATGCTTTTATTGGTCTTTTTTCCTAGTATTTGAGAACTAGCATAAGCACTGATACCTTTTCTTTTGAATTATTTTCACATTAAAGAATTTTTCTTAAATGTAAGCACACAAATACACTAAAAATTGGGGGACATGACACTACTACTATTGAAACATAACCAGACATCTTCAGCAAAATCAACTATACAATTTTCCTGTGATAACTGCTAAATGACATTTCACATTCGACTAATAAAAAACGCTGTGATGAAATAAACATTAAACTTGGAAACTCTTTAAACTCAATAAAAAATGTGAAATTTAGTTAAATAAATAAAATCTTTTAAACCAATAAATGAAAATAAATAGTAACTTTATAACAACAACAAACAACAAAAACAAAAAAAAAAAAAAAAAAAGATATATCTTTAATACCAGTACTTACTTTCTAGTTTGTAGCCAATTTAAATGTTTCTGTCGATGAATATTTTCTGAATGACTCAATATCAGACTTAACTTGGTGCTTTGGGTTTTAAAGTTCTGTATTTCACTTTGTAGGTTTACCACTAACTTCTGGTGATTCATGATGTCATGACTGTAATGCTTTTTCAATGGAAAATAAAGAGTTACTAAAATTATTTTACAGTTATAAAATATATCACTATCAAAGCATAGTAAAATTACAAAATTTGATATATGGTCAGTTAAAAAAGACACTGAATGTACACAATATGTACTTAGTTATCCTTTCTAAAATTTTAATCATAGGAAGAGAAGAAAGTGAACATTACTTAAAAAGAATCCATACTTTATTATATGGCTATATAATGCAGTACATTTTATCCAAATAAATGTAAAGGAATAAAATGTAATCATATGCCAACTAAAAAAAATGCAGAATGTTACAGATCTTATCTGAAATAATAAAAAGATTCACACCACTTTAAATTAGCATTAGTGAAAAGAAAAAAAAAATACAATTAGCTGTTCTTCTCATGATTCAGAATCCTGCTAATACATAGTCCACTACTCCTCTTCCTACTCTAATTATATTGAAGTAAGCATGTTAAAATTGTAATTATTAAGATTTGCATAGTATTATTAAATGATTTGTATTGTAATTATTAAATAACAGATGCACAATTTGTAAAATTTAGTTGTGTATGTTTATTTCAAGACTATTTTGTCAAGAATAAAAAAATATTTAACAGCTATGATTGCAGCTGTATCCTTATGCACCAATCCCATCATCATGTTTTCCATCACAACACAAAGTAAATTCCCACTCTGCACATTTATTCATATGTGTGTGCATATGCAGAGTGGTGCATTCATATATGTGTGCATTACACATATATGAATATATTACACACATATATGAATATATGTATATTCACATTATGTGTAAGATAATATGTAAATCAAAATTCTAGCTTAAATTTGCAATAGCTCCAACTCTTCATTTTAATTTGGATATTTCCTTTTTCAGCCTTTACTTACTGGAAACTGAAAATCAATATAAAATCAACATCGATTTTTTTTAATAGCCAATTTGAGAATTGCAAACCAGAACCTTTTCCTAATACGCCTCTATCTTGGATTATAATGCACTTGTTTCTTTTGCTTACTAGATGCTTTGCCACTGCTCTCACTTAAAGTTTAAACAGTTTGAAACAGGTACTACTTATTGCAACCAGTTTATTTCATATCGTATAATCAATGTTTGTTAATTGAAATAAAAAGCAATATTAAAATTTGAATGCAAGTTCCATGTTTCCTCTTCTTCATGCTTTAACATCTGCACCATCAATGATATTGCAAGTTTATTACAAATTCAACAATGACTATGATCTTCTTCCATATTACACTTCAACAGCTATCTTCAACAAAGTTCCAAATTATTACATATATGTGTGTGAATATTAACCTACAAACTTCCCTTTTTGCCTTTTAGTAAAAGATATATATGCTCTTTAGTAAGTTTTATGCTATTTAGTTAAAGTTCGATCATAATTCATCTGAACCTGAATAATTTTGACACTGCAGAGACATAATGAGTTTCTAAAACAGATTTTAAGGAAAAATTCATTATGCTCTAGCAGGAAATTAAACTCAGATCTTTAAGTTACTGGACTAATATGTTCACAAGACGGAAGTCCTGTTACATCACAATAGCACCTTACAGGTCTTTAATTCATTATAACTTGTTTAAAACCACTTTTAATTTATATAGAATCCTTTTCATTGAATATCAATGAAAGATTCCTGAATTAATGTAAATTTTTGCATATCAAGTCACCATAAACCCATACTTCTTCCATTTGAGGGGGGAGAGAGTAGTTTCCCCCTTTTGGGGGGTTCATAGTCCCAAAGTCATTAAAGTAAACTAAAGACTAATTAATCATTCATATAACAAAACAGTTCAAGTTAAAAACAAAATATAATTCTAAATTTTAGCAAATTTGTTAATGTTTTGTTATTTAATAAAACCACACATGAAAGTATAGTTTTTTAAAGTTCTGGTTGATGACACTGAATTACAAAAGTCAGTAATGAGAAGTACTCAGTTTTAAAAGTTAAAGTATTTTTGGCATTTATTTTTTTAATATAAATAATATAAAAATTAATAAAAATATTATTACAAATATACTGTTACAAATTTTGTATAATATATATACACTTGTTCATAAATTAAGGATAATTCGGAGTCATGCGGGAATCGAACTCTAAAATAAATATATCACCTGTAAAATCACTACACACATCTTCAAGAATTATATGCAAATTTCAGGAAGTAACCAGATAGATGACACCGATGGTACGTCACAATGACGAGAGTGTAAGACAGTGATATATAAGGAATACAGGCAAAGAAGTAAAATTGTTCGCAGGCACTTTATAAGCATTTCAGTGCAATAACCGAATAGTTATGACACAAAGGACACATTTGGATGATTTTTTACGCGGTAGAATTATCGGCCATCTGGAATGTGTGCGTACCCAACTGGAAGTATCAAACGAACTTGGAATTTCCCAGAGTGTCATCTCCAGGCTTTGGCAATGATTCCAAGATGATGGTAATATGATTAGACGTTACAGCAATGGTCGCCCCAGACTTACAACACCGAATGAGGACCGGTATTTGGCAGTTAATGCCAAAAGGTGGAGCACAGCCTCAGACCTGTCTCGTCAGCTCTCTTCAGCCACTGGTACAACAATTTCAAGGCAGACCGTGTACAGATGCTTAGGGCAGATTGGTCTATATGCTTGTAGACCTGTCATTTGCGTTCCACTTACTGCAAATCACTGTCACCTGCAGTTAGCCTGGAGTATAGAGTATGCATTGTGGACACCGCAACAGTGGGCTTGTGTGATGTTTTCCGATGAGTCCAGGTTTAGCTTGCAGTCTGGTTCTCGCCGGACTTTCATATGGAGAGCTCCAGGTACCCGTTACCAACAAGAAAACATCATTGAACGACACCGTTACGGTGGTGCAGGAGTGTTCGTTTCGGGAGGATTTATTCTGGGTTCTAGAACTGACCTGCATGTTCAAATTGGAACCATGACAAGCCAATTTTATCAGGACATCATTCTGGAACAACATGTACGTTTATTTCGGGGTGCCATGGGCACACAATTTGTGTTTATGGATGACAACATCCTCACCGTGCAAACATCGTAAGCGAATGCCTTCAATCAGAGGATATCACCTGTATGGACTGGCCAGCATTCTCACAGGACTTGAATCCAGCAGAGCACATGTGGGACATGCTTGGCCACCGAGTTGCAGCCCATCAACCTCCTCTTACATGTCTACCGGAACTTCGGAGAGCAATGCTTTTTGAGTGGTGTAATATCCCCCAAGATCAGATCGATAATTCGATAATTTGATACTCAGCATGCCTAGGCATTGTACGGACTGTATTGCATCATATGGGAGACATACAATGTATTAACAATCATTCCAACCATGTAATATTGGTTTTTTGTAAATAGTTTTTTTTTTTTTTTTTTTTTTTAATTTGCTCCAGGGAGAAAAAAATCGCTATTTTTCTTTTTTATAATATCAAACATATAGCAGCTTTTTTTGCTCTTTAACTTTTGTTTAATAAATAAGCTTTACAAATAAGTCAAATTTGTTTTGCTTCTAACTCTTCCTTTGCCTGATTTTGCATTATCCTTAATTTATGGACATGAGTGTATATATATATATATAAATTATATGTGAAACTGTAGTATTTTTGTGTAATGTAACATAAAATGCTTGAAAGAGTATTTAATATTACAGTAAATAGGTATCTTGCTAAACTAGTCAGATATCACCAAGCTGGCAGTGGTTTGGGCGACTAATTTTTTATGCCAAATTTGGTGACATTTTGATCTGTTTCCTATAGAACTGTAATTGGTATTGTAATTGAATAACTGTAATTGGTCCATATATGTAACTGTAACTGTAGCCAGCCTTTATATGCCTTCCAGTGATTTTAAGAAGAGGAAAGTACTAGAGATTTCTTGGCGACCAGGGTAAAACTATCTAAGATATGGAAAAGCATCAGTTTTCCAGTTCAGAGATGACTTCAAAGTACTGAGATATCTTCGTGTGAGCTTGCCTTCTTTAGATGTGCTTTTCACTATCATGTGTTCAACATTATTAATAGTTTGAACTGTAACTGAACTACTGATTGTGCTCTGTGATACTGAGAAAGCTGTACAAGTACTTTTATAGAAAGTTCCAGAACTGTAAAGTGTTTCTTTTGGCAAAATAATTTTTTTCGAGATATCATCAGTTCTGTGTGCATTCAATCCATTATAAACCCATATGCATGCAACAATACATTGTTTTTAAATGGCTTGCTTTGTAACACTGATAGATAATATAGTAGTTAACTGGAAGATCTTATCTTATGTGGGCTAAATAACAGCTTCACTTTTTGGCCAAGATATAACGAATATATCAGGTTTAATGTTGGGGATAAACAGAGAAAACTTGATTACTTGGGAAAAAATATTCTTGTTTATTAAAAATGTCATTCTGATTCACAAAGCATTGTGACTTCTTTAGGGAATCCACAATTAAAAAAAAATCTAAAGACAGCTTTCATTATTCTACATATACCTTGGCAAGACTAAGCAATAATTAGTGAGGAGAAATTTCAGTATGTTATATATATATTATTTCCTTCCTTTAGCAAATTTAATGCAAAAAAAGTAAAATGAAAGCTTTTCAAACTTTGAATATACTGTATTAATCTTATTCTTTTAACACAGGTGTAATGAAAACAATTCTTTTGCAAATAATTATTCAAAGAGGTCCTGTTACTATATTCTTAATTATTCACATAAAATATTACTCTGATATTTTTTATTAAGTTATTTTTAAAAATTGCTAAGATGGCATTGGTTTTGGTGACTAATTTTTTATGCTAAATTGAGAAATATTAAAAAATATTTCTCTTAAAAAATTTTACATTTGCATCTGGCAAATTTAAAATTTAACAGCTAAAAATGTCCTTCACTCCATTTACTTTAAAATATCTATTGCGGATATAAATATTCAAAACAATTTTTCCTGTGCAATCAATACATACACGCTTTTTGCAGCAGATACTTATGCCAATTGCTCATAATAATTTATTCATAAAATATTTCATAATAATTTTTCTATGTACAATTGTCACATTATCCCAGAAAATCACATGAAAATGTGAATCTTAATTTTCATGATTAACAGCTTTTCAAAAGTTATCTATATTGCTGAACTTTCCACTCTGCTGAGAATTGTCTGGTTGTCTCTGTCATTTTACTTTAGTGGTATGGTGATTAGTGAAAGTTGATTGCCATGCCAAGATCAAAAGTGCAGATTTGATTCCTATGTAAGGATGATATTTGACTCCTATGTACTTATATTTACTTTGTGTTTGTAAAACTTTTTAATATTAGCTATGATGCACTCTGAACAACATTTTCCGTGATGAGACAACAATATGACAGATACATTCATTCATCATTTAGTTAATACCAAACTGGCAAGCATGCAAATACAAAACTTTCATCAAATGATTTCCTCCCTCATTGATTTCATCAATGATTTCTTAAATCACGGCAAACATGTTTTTACAGTCATATAAGGTGGCTACAGGGGTTTAGATATGGGATGAACTAAGGTGATGAAAAACAGACCAATTTTTGTCTCAAGTGTAATAAGTAGATGGAAAATTATGACACTAATTCATTAAAATTTCCTTTGAAAGCTTAAATTACAAACTGTCAATCATATCTCACCAGCTACACATTAAACTTACAAGGGAAATGTTAATTATTATATGATGAAATCTCCTTCAAAATTTAATACAGCAATCTCTCATTTAATATAGTTAATAAATATGAAATGCTGTGTTAAATGAAATCCTGTTAATTGAATTACATATAAAATATTATAATTACTTCAAGTATTTCTTCCCATATATTTTGATATTTCCGTTTAATAATATATATATATATTAAAAAAAGGAAATAATATGGTACAAGGATTTAAAGTAATTTTACTACTTTTTACTTCCTTTTTTTTTGCACTCTGAAAGGCATGACTGCCTTTACCTGGTCATGAGATTTTTTAATCACTTGGTATACATTACATTATAATTTAATATATTTTGCTTTCTTACTTTCTTTAATGATATGAATATCATCTTAATGAATGGAAGGTTATGAAAACAGAGACTAAAATAAGTAATTATATACATTTAGCTACTAAAAGTTATTTAAATACAGTCAAAAGTCTTTAATTCGGACTCGTCAGGACTTGGGCGATTCCGGATTATCGATTTATCAATAAAATTACTATTTTTGTTAGTACCCATCCTATTTTAGACCACTGGGTGAATGCCTAAAGGAGAATTTGTGCCTGTCTGCCTTTTGCCAGCTGTGAAGCATGAAAATAGTTCTCTGTTAGTAAGGCATGCAATCTTGGCCCACTTGGGGGGGGGGAATGATAATGTGGGAACTATATGGGAAGATAATATTCTATTACAGTCAAAGTCGTTATCCGGAAATCTCGGTTTCCGGACTATCGATTTTCCGGATTATATCATCAGTTTCTGGTAAGATGGCATGCAGAATTATAAAATTAAAAATATGAAACCGTAATTTATGAAATAAAGAACAATTATGATCTAAAGGGTATCAAAATTTACAAAAAAAAAAGGCTTAATATTTATTTGTTTACTTTATTAAACATTTCTTTCAACGCACGCATGCGTAATGCATACATTACGCATAGTCAAAATTAGAAAATTGCAACCAGAAAACTATTTGATGTGTTCGTGATATTTATAATGAATTTGATTTAAATCATATCAGAGTACATCGAGATGAAATACTACATGTAGTAATGAATTATAAGCCGAATAAAATAAAAAAAAATCTGCCCTGAAAATAAGGATAGTGCTGACAGATCAACTTCCAGTTCATTGTGCGCTGCGAGGTTCCCTTACCCCACAGAGCAGCGTGAAATTGATAAACAGATTTCGGAATTGTTAGAGAAACAAAGGGTATGCTTTTATCCATTTTTTGCAGCAATTCCACTTTTTGTTTGATGGACATCGGAACATGCTTTCGCTTTGTAGATCCTTTGGCAGCTCCACAATCGGAAATTCTTCTTGACATAATCGAAAGTTCAAGCTTACTTTTATAAAATTGCTCTAACAGTCTGCAAAAAATAATAAGCCGGATCCAATTCGAAGATTAAGGAACAACGCAATCTGCAACATTAACTGAAATAGATAATTAGATAATTTTAGCTTAGCTTATACCGTCCGTTATACATTAAACACGCATGCGTAAACAATTATTTTCTAGTTCTGCATACACATTTACCTTTAATGAAAGTGAAAGTTTCATTTAAATTTAATTAACTTTAAATTTGCTTTTTACGAATAGAGAATGTTTGTTAAATTCAAATTTCACTCCTTGCAGCAATGGCGCAAGAGAATTATTTAAATTTAATTCATTTTGAAACCCTGTAGATATGTATATATGTTTTTGTTTCACTTTTATGTGAATGTGTATACATGTGCTCAGACTTTGGGATGTTTACGACTCTAAACTTTCATTACCAATTAACATGAGACAGTATTAATGTCCTAAACATTTTTTAACAAAAAATTACTATAATAATTGCTTTTAAATTCAGTCCTCTCCAGCAGAAGCGCAGGAATTAATTAATTAAATATTTCCATTTTCTTTACCTAATGTGTGTATATAGAGAAAAAAGCTTATTTTTATAACTTCTATAAAAAGAGAGCTATGAATTAAAATGTTTAAATTAAAAATAATATTTTATGGAATATAAAATCCTGCCCATAGTGCATTTTAAAAACAAACGATTTCTAATAAATTATCCAGCTATGACCCTGAAGTCAGCGGTATACAAGCATAGCAAATTTTGTGTAAATATTGTGAACCTTTCTTTACAGTTGCTCTGTATTTTAAAGTACCAACTATTTTTTAATTCCTTTAACTTTTTTATTTTATTTATTTGTTTATTTTTTCACTAACAGTACATTTTAGTTTTAATAATATATATATTATTTCATTAATATTTAAGGCTTCTAGAAACGCAAGGAAATTTTTTTAATTTACTTCAGCTTCTATGGAATTAGTGATGTTCATAATATGCATTATAACCTTACTTATCTAAAAATTGCTAGCGTACTTTACTTTCGCAGTTCATAAGCAGAAATAAAAATTTCCAATAACATGGAATTTAGTAAACAAAACTTTTCTGCGTTTTACAGCAGGATCCATATCAAATCCAAAACAAACAATACTCGCTTAAGCGGGAAAAATTCAGATGTTCAGCGTCGTAACTCGCGAACTACTTGTTTGGCGCCAAAATATTACATTGGCACCTAGCGGCGGAAAATTAAAATATTCTACAGATACGCGGCAGTGGAAACGCAGTGGAACGCATTATGCGTTGACGCATGCGCAGAAAGTTTGAGGTCCAGATTATAGATCATTCCGGATTATGGGCGTCCGGATTAACGACTTTTGACTGTATTGTTCTTCAAGAACAGACTCAAAATGAACAGTCTGAGACTATGCCACTCAGACTGTTAATATTTATAGCAAATCCGTGCACTGTCATTCATACACAGTAAATCTAAATCTGAATCTTTCCACAGATCTGAATCCAAGTGGGAGACAGGTTACAAAAACTTAAAAAAGGGGAGTGGCAGAATACTAAAATTTAAGAATGTTTTTTCTCTTTAATAATCTTCTTTATCTGCAGATTCATAGCAATAACAATTACACGTCATAGAGACTTAGAATAGAATAGTCATAGAATATACAAATATTAAAATACATATAATGAAAAAATAAATGTTTGAAATTTCACATACCCATAACTGTTGACTATCAGAATTTCCTTTTATTTCTTGCACCCTTTGAGATTTTAATGAGACAAATTGCTAAAGGAGAAATTTATTTTAATAGCTATAAGTTATTACAATTAAATTACGAATTCATAGCTCTTGCATTACAACATATAATAAATGAAATAAAACAACTTCCATTACATGCACATAATAAATGGGAGAAGCACTAAGTTTATTACATATTTTTAAACAATATATTAAAATCATGCTACTCTCACATTTTAATTTATAAAATGATTTTGAACATTTTTGATAGGTATGTAAGATAAAAAATATGAAAGGAACCTAGCAACTTTAATTAGATATAGCCCTTTTATTCCTTATTTTAATTTCGGCATTTTCCTTCTCTATCCTAAATACAACAATTATTTATAATATATCGATCTAATTGCATCATTTCAAATTTAATCCGCATCATAAGATCTTATGCAATGCTGCAATGCAGACACCTTTTGTCCAACCACTGAATGCGATATCTGTTAAAAACCTAAACTTTTTCACTCACTTTCTTATGCTTCTGAAAGCGACTTTTCTGCTTTGCTTCACTCCTGAAACTTGTAGTCTTAAAAAAATATTTTTTACAAGTTCATCAGTATTGATGTAAAAATTCTTTAGGAATTAGGCGCTGTAACACCACTATTACTTGTGTTGGCTTAATGACAAATGTGTGCCAACTGTATGTAAAGCTTGTAATTTATATCAAGACTAATGAAACAATGCTTAGAATGCTTAAAATGCTAAAAAATATATTAGTTAATAAATTTCACTTCATAGTAATAATTTTATGCAATTTTAAACATGCAAAAATTCATAACATTTAAAAGTATATTAATACAAAATAGTACTATTAGAAATTATTTCTAAAAATTAACTGTTAACATAAATAAAAATCAGACATATTATTAATGAGATGTGTGACTATAACAATTTTATGCAACTTTGGAGATGGGATATTTTCATTTCTGCAAATTATCCATCAAAATTAAAAATAATATTAATGGCACCTTTATGTTATAAATACCACTGTAAAAGAAAATTATTAGCTAAAAATGCAAGTTAGGGGTAAAAAAATAGAAAATGCACTAATGCAGTTTGGAAAAATGTAAACTGTAACAAAATTACACTTGTATTTATTTCTTATACTGTATAGTTTCTAGTGGCCATATATTTGCAGTGGCTCTTAATGTTGGCTTTAAAACATGGTACAGGCTCCATTTGCTAAGTATGACTCAAAATGATGCCAATCTACACTCTGTTACTAATTCTGCATCTTGTGGAGCTCTGTAATCTTTACACTTTTAAGTTAAGTGTCAGTTCTTAGATCAATAAAACTGAATTTATAATTTACAGTCTTTGGTTCATCTGTAGTATGTAAAATGTTTTTCTTGAAAGAACAGATTGTCTATATGGGATAATAAGTAATGCTGGTTTGCCAGTCAACAATCAACTTTAAGAGATTTTCTTTTACAGTGGCTACTATTAAATAATATATACCTCATTTAGAGCTTCTACATTTAAATAAAATTCTACCAAGCTTCTTCCACTTGTGAACTAAAAAGAAATTTATGAGAGCAATTTGAATATTTGATATGTATTCTCAAATATTAAAAATAAAATAAGTTATTTCTTACATCGTAATAGAGGAAAAATGTAATACAATTAAGTCCAAAATCAGAGTTCAGTGTGGGATTTCAATAGCTTCAGCACCCTGTTTCATAATATAAACTACAGCTGAAATCATATGACATATAGGACTAATTTAGTGTTCTGAGGCAAAATAATAAAACAAAATTAATAGAATATAATGAATGCATATATCTGCATTAAACCAACCACTGGAACAAACTCTTTGTTAAGCAAATTTGTGCACCTACAGTCGATGGACATCACATATCACAATCAAATGTGATATTTATATTCTTTGATCAGCTCTTTCTTGCTAGCCGTCCAAAATGCTGTACCTCATAGAACAAGAAATATTAAAGGCATATTTATTGGACAGATATTATAAGATACAAATGCGGTCTGATTAAAATTCTAGCCCCTTTCAACCCAGGGAATATGAAGCAATCAATAATTTGTGCCAATAAATGCTATAACATGCTTTAGTACTGAAAGAGAGATTCTTTGGATATGTGCCTGGGATATGTCAGTCCATGTTGCTTCCAGACATTGCCAAAATTCATCTGGCATAGCTACAGGTAATGTATGATAGGCCATTCACTTGTCCATCAGCAATCAGATGAATTTTATGGGCCACATATCAAGAGAATACGCAGGCCAAAGCAGCAGTGAACCCTGGCAGAAAACACAGAATTGTTGAATGTCATGTGCTATGTTTGGTTGTGCAATACCTTGTTGAAGCTTAGCCGTATGCAAGGTAAGGTAGAACAACAGACTAATGAGACGTAGCAGTGGCTGTTGAGTGCATTTCGCAGTTTATATTAAGTAGTAACACTTAAGCCATTATGGAAGATAATAGACAACATGGAAATGCATAATGTAAAGGTCACGATATTTGTTGTTACCACCACTTGAATATGACTATCATGCTCTCGGCAGAAACAAGATTTATTTATATATACATATAAAAAACTTCCTCAATATATGAACCCCTAGAAGCCTATCCATTCAACCAATAAAAATGAAATTTCAGTTATTGTTATTTGAAGATATGCACTCGATATTGTGATGATTTAAAATCACAGAGCTCTCACAGTTATGGTTACGGGGGAAAAATTTCAAAATATTCGAATTTTACTTTAATATTACTCTTTTCCTACACAAATTTATCAGCGCATTCAAAAACCATAAATGGCACTGGAAAGAAAAAGACATTTGCAAAGAAGACAATTGTAAAGGACCAGTGACTACACAAGACAAGTGAGGGAAGAAAACTTTTAATGAAATTACAAGGTTCCTTAAATTCTTCTTCTGTCAAATTCAGAGACTTGTTTGAATGAGTGCTCTCTCTCTTTTTTTTAATGAGGCGTATTGAAGCTTCCCATCTACAAGAACAATGGGAAAACATACAATTCCAATTCTTAAACAACTTACTATTTTCTCTTTTAATAGTGCTTCTAGGTGGTATTACTGGTGTGCACATAATTTACAAATGCATCAAAAGGTCTCAGCATTCAAGCCTACTGGACATACTTCAAAGTGCTGCAACACGAATGACCAATGATAGAATTTATTTCAGCTCAAATGTAGTGAAAGATTCATTTGGTTTTGATAAAGATCATATTGCTATAATAAAATATCTTTAAAAATAGCTTTGAAGCAGTTGATAGCCACTTATCCAGTTATCTATCAAGTGGTACTTTGATTTGCCAGCAAGGCTAGTGTCAAATGTTTCTCTGAGCTGTTTTGTCTTGTATGCAGCACCAGAAACAATACGGCTGAGATTACTCATAAATTTTTCAAGTGTGATGATAGATCCCATGCATATGAATACACAGTTTATAATACCCTTTTGGACAACAGTACTCACAGACATGGACTTATTCATATTCATATGTCCAGTGCTAAGATATGAAAATTTTAGCAAAGGTTTCAAATTTTATAGTATAAAACCAAAATAGCTACTTCTAATGAAATGTTTAACCTTTTTTTATAAAAGCAGAAAATTCAAATAATTGTGCATAAACAAGAAAACACTTCAAAATTGGGGGAAAAAATTACAATTTTAAAAATATCATGAAATATAATCATTCTTGTAGAATACTGATCATTAACATCAGCTTCTTCTTAAAAATTCCTGATATAAAAGCCCGTTTAAAAAACTTTTATATTTAATCATTCAATGTAGAATGTTTGCTTAAAGATGGATAGTTCCTTCACATAGCAAAAGTTGTTGTTCCTAAACTACATACTGCCTATTGTCATCCAAACATATGACCAATTTTTAATCTTTTAATACCCAGATCTTTAACAATCTCATTTATTTTTTTTGCTGATTTGGGAGGGGATGGTGATTAAAAGCATACAATTTATTCTGAAATATTCAAAATTAATCATTTCACACTTTTATTAAATCTCCTGATGTTAATTGTAAATGATTATCTATGTAATGCTAAAATCTATTGAAGTTTGATTCCTTGATTTTCTTTCTAATGCTAATTGATTTTTCTTGATTTTGTCTGTACTCTAACAGAACAAAATTGAATCAAATGGCTTTTCAAATAGTTTTCAGGGAATCAGAATGAATTTAAACAATAATTATACAGGCATGTGTACATTCAGTGGTAGCACTTTCTACCTCTGAAGAAAAAGAACACGGGACTCCCATATTAGGCACAAAATTAACAAAGTACTTGTACGAACCCTCTATAGCTCACAACTGAGTATACTTATATTTATAGCTGTTGAGATTTCTTACAGAGGACACTGTAATAGCTGTAAACTAAGTTATTTCAGTTATAAAAGAGGCAAAAATTTCAGTTATAAAGATTTGAGTCAGTGAAGGAAAGTAGTGGAGTGAGCTATGGTGTTACATGAGATGATATACACTATATAATATACTTATAATTAAGTGTATATAGGTAAAATAAGGAGTTACTTTTTCTGAGTATTTTTTTAACAATAACCATTCATCCTCATAAAAGCAATGGATTCATTAACATCAAAATTGGATTGAAACTGAATTGGATTGAATTCTAATCAAAAAGAGTTGCATAGTTATACACTCTTGTTTTTATTAAACTTTATAGACAGATGAGTTCATATATGATGTTCAATCAAGAACTTTTTTTCTATCAAGATAATTATTTGGGCAAACAGAAAGTAACATGAAGGCTAGGCCTATATTTTCTTGTGACATCTAAAAGCTTGGAACACATTGTGACTATTCGCATCTTATGAATATTATGAGCACTTTATGACAAATGTTTTTTCTAAAGGATACCACATCATTTGACAATAAAATAATCTGTGGTAAGCTGCATAAACATGATGAGGTATTCCATCTATTCACATGGCCATCAAAATTCATTGGACATGAATTCAACCCCACGCTTCATGATCTAGTTAAGGAACAAATTACAGATAGCATTTTCCAGCCATGTAATTTCTAGAAATCAGAGGACTTTTCCTTGCTGTGTATCAAATTAAGAGATATATTAGCATAAGCGCTAAGGGGCAACAGAAAAATCATATCAAGTCAAATGCTTTTAATGTCTCAAATGATCAATGCAATATTTTTGAATAATTTAATTCGTAATTAAAAAATGAAACTTCAGAATTTGAATTAAAAAATTTATATGCTCTGACAACACATTATGTCAATATGAAATCCATGTATACAAAAAACTGATATCATATAATTAATTGATTTTTGTTTGTAATATGCTTAAAGCAGAAAAATGAACTCATTTCTTTTCAATTACATAGGAAAAGGGATAATATATGATGCTACTTTTTAATTAAATTAGTAATTTTTATTTAAATTCTTGATCTTCACATCACCTTTAAAGAATTCTGCTGCACTTGATAACATATTTCCACTCATTAGGTGAAGACTGCACTAGTTACATTTAATAATAAAATTTATTCCATTTCCTTTTCAAAAGCAAAGTATCACTAAAGTACAATAACTAAGAATGGTGGCAAGATTAAATGATAGTACAATACATTAGTTAATAAAGGTGAAAAATATTGGTAAGAACTGCTTTTAACAATTATTAAACACATAGATTTTGATTTTCTAATTACTCTAAAGATTTTCCTAAAATAAAACAGGTGAAAAATTTCTATATGGAAATAATTATTTTCCTACTTTCACAGTAGTTGACATTTCCTTGCCTTTATTACCCTCCCCCAAGTCAAACCTGTGTTAACTTTTACATCGCTTTGATCATCTGAACCCCAAAACTGAAAAGCCACAAAAAAAAAATGCACCGATAAGGCAACATAGTGCGTTGCCAAAAAATATTTATGTGGCAATCTAGTTACACACATAGCATCTTCCCTAGAGGGCTTTTCAGTTCTGTAGACATTTTCTTCAGTGTGACTGTAGATTATAATCCCTCTTAAGGAATACCAGTGTTTTAGCACAGTCGTGGTCCACATACTGCAGTTTTCATGACATACTTCAGTGACATCTGACTTAGCTTTTTGCATAAATAAGGTGGCTTGCTTAAAAGTATCATACACTTCTTCCTTCTCATTTCAGGATTTGAATACCAAGGTTATAAAGCCAATTTTGTGCAATCCTCTGAGGACTTTTTTTAGCAAAAACAGATTGCCTTGCCAACAGAGAGAACAATAACAGCATAAAAAACCATGAAGTATGCATGTTTTGAATGGAAAAAGAAGAAAGAAAGAAAGAAAATAGATAGAACTAGATAAATTATTTAAATAGATATCAAGATACCCAAACAAATGTTCCTCTCCAAAAGTCATCAAAAAGTTTGTATTGCTCTCCGGTGATAGAATCAAATTCATGTTTTTTCAGTGAAGAGGTGAGGAGATAATCAAAAAAGCATCTTTTTATTAAAATTTGTAACAATATTAAAAGAGCATCATTTGATTAAAATATGTGTTAAACTTAG